ATAGCATATTATGTGCCTAAAAAGATGGAGAATACAGTGTTAAAAAATAGCTGGTTTTCAAAACTACATGATCTGAAAAAAAAAATAACGGCAATCCTGTTGATATAGGAACAACAAAACAACACTTTCAAGATTTATGTAAGGAATACTATATGAATACATGGATGTCAAACATGAACAGTACTGATTCAAATAACATCCAACAAGAAACCTATTTACAAAAACTCAATGACAGAAAAGCAATAGGGACATTTGCAAGATTTAAAATGAGTTGCCACAAACTGAAAATTGAAACTGGTCGTCATCAAAAACCTAAAATACCACTACAAAGCAGAACTTGTCAAAACTGTGCCAAAATTAAAGATGAAAACATTTAACAACAGAATGCACCTTATATGTAAACAACAGAGACGTTCTATATTAAACAGCCAAATCCTGTATATATGGATTCCAAGATATGACAAACAATACTAAATTCATACAAATAATGAGTAATAAGAACACTTCACTAATCAAAGAAACCATAAAGTACATTGAACAGTGTTACAACATAAGAAATACATTACCGGCATAAATAAACTACATATACCATATTCTTACATATTGTAAATTGTCTTACCTTTACAATTCAGGGATAGTTCAACAATGCAAAAACTTTATTAATTTGTTAACCAAAAAAGAAATGTCACATTATCTTTACGGTATTAATAAAGAATTCTATTCTGTTCTATATGAAACTCGTAGTGACGTATACAACGCATGTACATTGTTTACATGAAATTCAAATGACCACCGCCCTTTAATAAACCGGAATTTCATGATGGGCAGGTTTTTTTTGTAATCACAAAAATGTTTATTTATACAGTGTACAGTATATTTACAGCCCTTATAACTGGATTTGCCATAACAACCACCATTAAGATATACTAGTAGTGTCACAGCATTTAAAAATTCTGGCAGTGCAGTGCTCTCAGCTCATGTGAGCCTGCATTAGGGCAGTGCAACCATTTTGAGACTCTCAGCTCCAGTGAGCCTACATTAGGGCAGTGCAACCATTTTGAGACTCTCAGCTCATGTGAGCTTACATTAGGGCAGTGCAACCATTTTGAGACTCTCAGCTCCAGTGAGCCTACATTAGGGCAGTAGACCTGCTTTGAGACTCTTGAATATTGAGAATAATATTTCACTTTATGAACATAGCAGACATATTTGATCTGTACTTTTCTTTGTTGTTCCACTGAAAAATGTGTTTGTGTTGTGTATCCTAGACATCCATGACATTTTTAATACTGTATACTGTTATACAACATGACCAATGAGTGGCCTTTTCTAAATCTCAATATGACATACATGTAATAAATTAGTTTTTCTTGCTTAGTTCCTCTGAACAAAGTCCAATAATGAAGGCTTTGGCATTGTTCTCTACATGCATAGGCATAATAACACTTTATTTCTTCCATGTGTGTCTGCTATGCATAGACTGATTTTCTTGATACTCATTTGGCACATCAACAACTAAACAATACAATTATGCAGGGTACACTATAAATGTACATTTATTTATTTTTAAATTGTCAATTACATGCATGGCCAAGTTGAAGCCATTATATCAAAAATAATTCAAATACTGTTATTTTTTCAGTATTAGAATTGAGATGTATAACTGTTGTAATACCTCATGGCTTCTATAGCATCATAGTACTTCTGTAAATGTCATAGAGTTTAATCCATTCATATCAATAACTGTAGTAATGTGTAGTAATATTATTTTTTAGAATAGAGAAATTATTTTTACCAACATTGCATTTACATCCATCTACATCACAAACTCACATCACTGCTATGAAATAGATGTGTTGATAAGTTGAAACTATCGGTTATTACATTTTTATGCCTTTTGATAGCGATGTTTAAAAATACATTGTATCCATGTCGACTCATGAATATGTGGCAAATACTATAAATTTGGCAATCTAATTGCATTGGTGAGGACACAATAACACAAAAGTAGGTGTGATCCCAGTCATATTTGAATACTACAAAATTAAATTTTTCTCACAAAAGTGGTTTATAATATACTCCTTATCTCCTGATCTGATAGCAAAGTCATGTATGTACAGTTTAAAGAGCATTTGTTATTACATAGGATTCGTTATCAACAGATTATCAGTCAGTACACAGGCGGCATTATCATCAGTATTCATGTAAACTTATTTATAAGTCTGACGATACAGTAAAAAAAAAATGTAGGCCATTTTTGTTGATTGTATTTGATATATATGTTGTATATGTACATGTGTGTTATCAACAGTTGTATTGTTGTATGACTCTTGTGCACATCGTGAATATAAACAAGAAAAATTTACAAAAAAAAAAAAATAAAGTGACTAGAATTTCACAATTCATAATCAGTAATCAATATGGATCGCATGCCACATCTGTTGCTGATACTCTGAACATGAAAATCATTATATACCAGTGTCTTTCTTCTTTTCAATGATTTTGTTGTTTATCTTCATTACATGATGGGATGTGGTCATCTTTCTATCATAATAATAGCAACCATGTTCTTTTATTTTGATTCTTCTGTTTCTTCTTTGTTACTGACTGGAGTTGTACTTCTTGAATTCAGTTCTGTAATATCCACTGCTTGATTTATCTGTCCGTTGCTGGTTTCCTCCACATCCACATCACTTGGATGAATACTTCTCTCTCTTGCACATCTAGCTTTAGTGGATGTATGTCTCCAGTAGTTGGGTTTGATGCTGTTTTCATTCTTGCAGCTGATCTCATGCGCTGGCAAATCACACTCAGAATAACGAAGGTTGCAGTTCGAACACTTTTTTGGTCCCATGGGGCTGTAGAAGAAAACAAAATATCTGAATTCCTGGAAGAGATTGACAAAGTTTTTACCAATCAGTACCATGCTGAGCTCGGCAAGATGTCCAAAATGGAGCCAGTTGATCAGACGTATAGTCAAGTTCACAAAGTCCACGAAAATTAAACTTATCCATTCGTAGAAGATGCTGTATGGGATTGAGTGATCTCCAGCATTAGCAATGGGCGTCTCAAATCGAATGTTATGGATAGAAAGTAGTGGCATGATCAGTAACATCAGTATGCTATATACAAAGATGAAAATATCCCATGCCATAGAAGATTCAACATCGTCCACTGCTTGATCAAAGGTCCATAACATGGTGAAAATGTCAATGATATCTAGTAGATCAACCACTGTTTTGCCAACGGCATCTCGAAGACTGACCCCTCTCTGACAGAATGGCTTCACGTTGTGGTGGATACCCACTAACACAATGTACAGACTGGGAATAAAAATGTATAGAGTTAACGACAGTCCACTGTGTCCCATGAACTGATTCAGATCAGTGAAGTAGTAAATAAGGATGATCTTGACAATCTGTAGGAGGATAAAGACGCCCCATTGAACCATGGCGGTCCATAGCTCAGTTTGAATAATTTGCTGTTCAAACGGTGCCGGTTTTGTCAGTTTCTTTGTAGCCAACACACAAAATAATATCCAGACAGCAAGTGTGAATACATCAGCGATGAGGAATATGCCTGCTTTACTTTGTTCCATAATCATGTAGACATCGAGTATCGCCATGGTTGTGCAGATAAAGACGATAGACAAGACTATATCACCAGTACGGAAAAGCAGCCCCATCTTGCTTCTTTGACTAGGTACATGTAACAATGTATGTGGTCTAAATGTTGACTGCTTAGCTGTTTATTTCTATCTTAACAGTTGCAAGTTTTATTATGGCAACTTGTCACAAGTATAGGATGATTAATATTATTTTGTCTCTTCAAACTTGTGACATTGTCATTTGTAAAGATAACGCTAGGTGTTCATCAGTACTTGTCTAGCAACACAGCTATTCAAACTGGTGTACTTTATCTGTGTGCCACTCAGTATTATCCATAACCAGGCACCTATGCTGGTCAGTTTAGTTGTCATGGTGACACTTTAAGTAATACATGCCAGGTCAGGTCAGGTCATTGTCAGGTCTATAGCCATACAAAATACAATAATAAATTTGTTTTGCATCCATTTAATACCTTGACCATGCATGTAGACATTTACAAGTGACACATCAACATTAGGTTTAATTATTAATCATTTATATTCCATACACTGAGCAATGCTCTAAAAATGGCTACCAAAACACAACATATACACAAGATCGTACAAAAGAATGTCTTTTGAAGTAAAACTCCTTAGATGGGGGTTGAATGCATAGTGCACATAAACCGATTTATTTTATCTCCCCAAAATTGCATGCATATGTTAATAATGAGGAACTTATGGTGATACACAATTAAAGGCTAAAAAGAGTTAAAAATCAATCATGCTACTATAATAACCTATACATCATCTAAAAGCGGATATTTTTTTCAAATTAGATCGTGACTTTCGAATGGTCATCTCTGTGACTTTTTTTACATTCAGGTCTTCTGAAATCATGATGTATGTTCAGCTTACACTGTACTTATCTACTATTATACACACAAATCATTTTTGTGTGCTAAGCAGACTTCAGTATTTCACATTAACAATGGTATATTCTGTTTGCCTTTTGGACAAAATAAAACTACTCTATTTGTATGTTCACACTACAATCTTTTGTTTACCCAGTTTTGTTCATGGTGAGAGCAAAAGACCAAAAGACAAATTAATTAAATATGAGGTGTATGTGCTATATGTTACGGGGCGTCTTTATCCTTCTACAGATCGTCAAGATCAGTCTTATTTACTACTTCACTGATGGGACACAGCATACTGTCTAACTCTATACATGTTTTTTCCATTTTATTTCATTTATCAATGGTCTTAGCTTGTCGTCCCAGCAGGATCCTACTTAGCATCTATATGCATTTATTTAGTGAAGGCTACGTAATGGCCTCTTGGTGAACATGGTGAAATGGTCACATTTGATGTAATCCAATTCTGACTGCAATGTTCTTGTTTTGTATTTCAGAAAGGAATACCTATTGGTCAGTTCTGCAAAGATTTCAATGAAAAAACTAGCAAAATAAAAGATGGAATTCCATTGCCGTGTAAAATATATGTCAAGGTAGCATACTTATTGTGGGTTTTGCTTTCATCTTTAATAAATGTACTGTATATTCAAAACAAATCACCTTTTTTTAGAAATGCATTTTCTAAAGTGGCACATAGTCGATGCATTGTGCACTTCTAGACTTTTATCCTGTATAATTTTTTTTTGAATAAAATGTTGGCACTCGTATTAAGGCATCAATGGGAAAAGTCATGTGGGAAATTTGAGCTTTTATATGAACGAAATTGAAGCAGAACGTCAAGCCAAATCTTTGCAATTGATGGATGTGGCTTATGCCAGTTTCTGAAATGTCAGTCTCAAAAAAGATTTGTGACTATTTTGACAACTGGGGTGATTTAATCCTAAGGATGGATGGTATTATTTATGGCTGAATATGAATGTTTTTGATTGGTGGAAAATCCCTTAAAAGTGTCTGAGCATAATGTCACTTATTTTCAAATATACCATTAAATTTTGAACCCGAAAATATTTCATTTTATAATTTGACAGAACAACATTTTGCAAAAGACGTGTCTCGAAGGACCTCACTTTGATTTTCACTGTTTTGTGAATATATCTTGTACTTGTGTCTTTTCCCAGGCAGACAGAACATACACAATCAAGATGAATAAACCACCTGTGTCATATTTTTTAAAAGCAGCTGCAGGGGTGTCAAAAGCAGCCAATACTCCAGGTGAGTTAATGTCATGTACTGGGATACTTGTTGTATGCATTTTGTTGCCATTGAAATAAGCACATTTTGCAATAGTAAATGTGTAACCAATGCAAGTCGTGAACATTACTTGATTATCTCCTGCCTATGGTATGGTAAACTTTGGTGGCAGGGTTCTCTCCAGAGTAAAGTGTTTGTCCTCTTAGTTGATATGGCATGCCAATGATGCAAATGTTTGCTATGACATAACTCACTGGCACATCATCATTACCAATAGATATCTTGAAAAACATCTTACTATAATTATGGAATTTTATAAACAAAATAAAAGTGTAAAAATCAAGGGGCCACAGCATTTGTGTTTCAAGTTACATATGCTGACTCAACCTGAATTAGGGGGTTGTATTTTCAATACAACTGCAATACAGCCTTGGCAATTTATTCATGATGGTCGTTTATTTACTACAGGCAATGAAGTTGCAGGAATGGTAACTTTAAAACATGTATACGAGATAGCGAAAATAAAAAGTGAAGACGAGGCTTGGCAGGAGGAATCATTGGAAAGGATTTGTGGTTCCATCATCGGCTCCGCAAGGTCAATGGGTATCAAAGTAGTGAAGGAAATAGACCCAGATGAATATAGGAAATTCCTTGTTGAACTTGATGAAAGGAAACAACTAGAGAAACAAGAACGGGAAGATAATCGACTAACTTTTGCCAAGAAGTACTAAAATTGACCCACATTTGAGATAGTGCGATGTTTTCATTAAAATTGCCAGAATTTATGATTTTTATTTTCGAGCAATAAATATTATACAGTAATGTCTCATGGTATGAACACACATGGAAAGGCGAAAACAGTATATGTAAACAATGTATTGTACACACCTATAACATACAACGCCAGCACTTATTCCTACCTATTATATTGGCTCAATTTCAATCAATATTTTCCCACTCACAATTGGTATATTCATAATAAGCTACAGATGCACAATTCCACAGACAAAGTTATTGAAATTTGAGAATATGGCTGGCTTACAGATGTGTCAAACCCTAATAATGTGTAGTTTGTGAGTATGTTATCAAGTTGTCAAATTTCATCATCTATCATCAGGCAGGGATCTTCTTGTTGGTAAATGTTTTTTATCCTTATGAGCGTTCCTTTTTCTCTTCTTGGCCAAATATTTGTCAAGCTGTCCTTTCTTTTTAAGATTGTTGTATCTTTCTGCTAATTCTAGTTTCTTCTTGTCCGCTGTGTGAAATAGATAATAGCATTAAAATTACATATAGCATGAACTTTTTAAAGATAATTAAGTATTGAGAACCTGAATTATCAGATTAAGGATACTATGCTATCACTACCTGTCAACAGGCTCGGCGCCCATTTACAGTCAAAGGAATGAAGGAGTGCACAACTTAATAATACACTTGTGTTGATAGGAATACATCAGTTATACTCCTAAATACAAATCCAACAAGGCTGATAAATGTACACATTTTGCACTGCTCAGTGTGCAGTTAAACCCACAATTTCTCTGATGATGGGTGGACATGCTAACTACTGTGCCACACATTACGTTCAAACAAATATGTTATATTGAATCCACAACAAAAAAAGTATCCCATGAAATTAAATTGCTATACAGTATCTAAATTCTACGTAACAAACCCTTCGGAATGGTTGTTTAGTTTTATGAATGTACCGAATGTTTTATGAATGTATCCAAACACACATTGTTGAAAAAAAAAGGTATTAGATCACTTCAAAGTTTGTACACATTGCCACTGTAGTGATGATATAGCCAGGTATACACCATCTAACATACAACAGGAAAAAATATTAAACTTACATTTCTTCAAAAAGTAAGGATTTTTTCCTTCTTTTACATATCCTTTGATTTTCTGTTTATGTTCCATCTCCCTTGCTCTTATTTGCTCTCTTTGTTTCTGGGATCTCTCATCATCTTTCTGTTATGAGAAAAAACAAAACCATAGTGTGTCATATTTCCTCATGTAGTACAGATTGTTCAAAATATGGTGACCAAGGGAGAAATCCCTGTTACTTGTGAATCAGATATTTGAGCTTTTATAATTTTGTAAAAATCACTGTGACCAATTGACTTTAAAGGGGCACCTTCCAGTTAAGATTAATTTCACAACAAATTTACTTTCTGGATTAAAATAACAATGGATAACAAAAGATAGATTAACATTGTAAACAACATAAACAATAGTGTCCCATGATTCTTTGGTGCAATCCATGGGATTGAGCGGTTCCCCTTTAAAGATATACTATAAACTGCTTTAATGTTGCAATGAAACTCATTGAAAACATTTTCTGGGATCCTGTGACTTTCACAACATTTTGTAATCATATATGCAATAAAATTTATCAAACTGCATAAATTCCTATAAAAAATAAAATGATTTGAGTAGTTAACTGTCACTAAATCTGTCTATCTGTCATAAAATTAAAGTGGTTTTCAGTATTTTATAAAGTTCTTCATTTGAAAAACTCATTATGGAATCAACTATATGTACAATGTATATGACAAGTGTCAGTTGTCCGAATCAAAAATAAACTTACCATTCTCTGCATAAGGGCTTTTAATTCTTCCTTCCTGGTGGTACTCTTCGTCTTTCTCAACTTCTTTTCAACCAGCTATCAGTTAATAAGAAATTGTAGGTAAGAGAAAGGAACAGATTTGTTACGTATAAAAAACTTGCTTCACATAAAAAAAAATTAGTTCAGTATACAGCGCACTCTGGTGTCAGCTCTGTCGTTTGTAAACAGTACAACTTCAGTATCACCCATCCATATTATTAATCCCTGTTCTTGTCAACCCATTTCTCAGACAAACAGACTTTTGAATATAAATTTGCCTGTTGATCTGATGAATATTTCTTCCAGCATCGATATTATATTTGGTTACCTTTTTTTCGCCCATTTTGATATCTTTAAGAAAGTCGTATCTTTTGTTAAAAACTTCCTCTTTGTATTGCCCAGATAGATCATCAAATCTAGGATCTCGCTGGACCTGAAAAATGCATGTATGCAAAAATGTTTCTCATCTCATCATTTCAGACGCTTGTACGAGCAAATATATAAGTCCTTGTTCTTTCTTTTTGCATCTATGTGTTGCCATTATTGGATCGTATCAGGAATGTCTAAACTTTTAATACAACAATGTTTTCTACAACTCCATCTGTGGATCGTCATCATAAATTGTGACAAATACCTTATTTATTTTGTTTGACATTATTTTTTGAAACACATTTGATGTCAATCAGAATATGACCATATCTCTTTATTTTTATCCAAAATCTGCTAAATTTTAATGTAAAAAAAAATAATATGATTTAGGTTTAAAAAATATCACTCTGTGTTTACCTGTTTTTTGACTGGAATGATTTCACGATATCTTGAGACTGGAATTTTGGAAGACATTTCTCTTGGTCTGAAAAGACGTAATCATGCATGCTCACATCACATATCTCAGTGGTAATACATTACAACATACGTTATTGTCCATATTTGGGCATATTGTCAATATCAAGTCACTGGCTAAGTGAGTGATTGTAAAAACCGATATTTATGTGAAGTAGTCATTAGCATATATGCAAATTAGCAGATATTATTACATTTTTACTACTATTGTAGCCATACTAGTATGTTAATAGACGGCCAGATTTATGCTTGAGGTTTGGTACATGTAGTGTGTAGTAGTACCAAGGACTTTAACCTGACTCTTAAAATGTGGTCATTTGTTACATACAAAGAAGGATATTGTTTATAACGAAGTTACGCTACAAATCTGAATAGAGTTTTCTTCAGCCCTGTCATGGTTTGTGTGTGATAACAACATGTGTGAGTTAAGTAACTCCTTTCGTAGAAGGGTAATGGGCCAATGACCTTACCCGGAAGGTTGATTGGACAGAACTGCCGTCAGAAGGTGAAGTAGTATTATGAAAATACATGCCACTGAACTGTACCAATAAATTAGATCAATCAAAGGTACAGATAGTTGTTGAAACAAAAATTCCAATGCAAGATTTGGCAAATAATAATTAACTGACTTAATCAACTGCACTTCAACTTGAAAAATGAATATTGATAAATACTAATGTATATTTTAAATGAAATCGATTCAGCTATACGATATGTCTATTTGAAATGAAAATCTATGTACTGGAAATGATAGTACATGTATCTGAAATGAATATCGATGAAGATCTGTGACAGGCCACCATCTTGTATTGAAAGGTGTATCATGGTAGGTATAATAGTGAGCAACTTGTCACATTCCGTCACAAATGTTTATTCAGTAGAGTTACCCACACAGCTGAAAATCATTGGATCAAATCCATGGTAGTGCTCAGATGCTTGAATAAAACTGTTACCTTACTAGTAAATGCAGACAGTTTTCAACAAATAAACAGTCCTCTCCTAGTAACCGGCATTCCTTAGATCAAAGAAACTAGTAAATGTCGACTATATACAAGTATATTTCTCTCTTAGAACAATAGATATGAGACAAAGAGTTGTGTGGTTTATAATACCAGTAGTACCTGTTCTTGTTGTCTCGTTTGAATTTTTTCTTCCTTGCTTCTGCCACTGTCGTCTTATTTTTACCAAGTATGGCTTCTTTATAACTGAATTATGAAGAAAAAAAGAATAGTCAATTCAATTCAGTTTGAAATACCTAGCCAAAGGCTAATATCACTGACTACTAAAAATTACATCAAACAAAAGCAAAAATTAAAAACATCAAACACAGAGAAAAACAACAGTAAGACACAAATAATTAATTATTTAAGTAATTTAAATATCCTAAAATGATGGTGACCACAAAGACACCATTTGCTTAAAAGACAGGCAGGCGATCATCATTCTGACCATGAGATGGTTTCATGTATGGTAGAATAACATGGAGTTTGTTAGCAATAATTTCACAGCGTATACTCACACTTTTGTTCCAACCCTTTCTTTTAGCTTTTGAAGTTCTTCAAAAGTAACTTCTGACAACTCTGAAAGAAAATCACAGCTGATATCAAATAAAGTGTATGGGGGTTAAAACATAATTATTTGAAGTACATTAACAGTACAGTAAAACCTGTGTATAGTGATGGACTTCATTAAAATGGTTCTTATAGATAGGTGGTCTTTATATGGAGGTTGGATCTTTTTATGTGGTCACAAACACAGATTAGACTATATGATGGATTCTGTTAACACATCAATTGCTGGAATTTACATAGATAGCCAAAATAAATGAAAAAAAAATGGCGTCAGAAGGCAATGTGTTAATGATACATAATAAAGAAAGTTTATTTTATTACAATCAGAGCATCATTTGGGGCAGTCCAAGAATGTACAGAATTCTGTTGGGTTATATTGTGGTTAAACATGTAATACATGCTGATTGAGTGTAGCATTGTAGCATTCAATGGGCGTTGTCACTGATTCGTTTATCCAATCACACTGCCCTATTTCTATATGAATCATTGCC